TAACATTGTACATAATTTACAGTTTTCACGATTTATATTTATAAATTTTATAAAAAATAATATATATTCTACTTGATTTATATTTTTCATATTAAAAAATAGTTTTTTAATATAGAAACTGGATTTTCTGAGTATATTATGCATTTTAACTAATTATTTGTGCTGCAGTTCTGTAGCTCATTAAATATATACCAAATTCAAAGCGTATTAATTTGTTTAATATACTAGTTTTATTATAAAAATTTTTTAGTTATAATACATTTAACAATATTATTATTAGGTAAAAATAGTTAATATAAAAATTACCTATACCATTTATAAAAAGAAGAAATCAAATATGACAATAAGAGAATTTATTATAATAATTATTTATGACAACAAGAATATTTTGAACTTAACATTTATTAATTAGATTACTAGTATAACTACAAGGAATTAGTTTTATATAGAATTAAAAATATTTTTTTCAATTATAAAATTCCGATATGATGGTTTGTATTATAACAAGGAAGTATGATACTATTGACGTACGTAACATTAGACCCAGCAAACGTATTGCGTGCTAACCGATAAAACACGATGGGTTCCTTCGATAGAGCCGCCATAGTATTTAGCATATTTCCATACATTTTATACTTATTTTGAAGATATTTTGAGTTTGAGTGAGGCTGTACGTCTGTACCTATGTAGGTTATTGAGTAATGTAGTAACAATAACTATGTAATGTTATTTTATGTAGTCTTTTGAAGTCACTAGTTTGATTAATCTAGCTGCCTTCTGTCACGATCTTTGCTTTCTATTAACTTCAGCATTTATCATCTGTCATCGCTTAACCTATAATCAATGCAATATACTCAAAAAAACTGTAATAGAGCAAACATATTATGCAGTGATTTTGTGGTGAGATGAATTTATCCAGAATTTAAATCATTGAAAGTGCAAATATCAGTCCTATTCGTTACAAATATTTTTCAATGACTAATAAGTATATACTTCACGTCTTTTCAAAATATAAGAATAAATAATCATCTACTCTATTATTACATTCTGACAAAATAGTTCAATTTTTATTCGATATTGATTGTTTCGATGAATTATTAGGAAATTAAGTAAAACGTATAGAAAGGTAAAAAAAACTGAAATCCTGATTTTTGAATTTAATATATCAAAATAGAATCTCAATGTTACACGATGCAATCACTTTAATAGTAAAAATATGTAAATATCGTTACAATTCAAATATTTAAATATTAATTACCATTAGAACATATTTGCAGCTCTTCTTTTAATTGCAACATTTTAAATTAAATTTTGTTCTATTCCATTCGCCTATGTTATTTTAAATGTATACTATTAACTTTTAACTTATCTGTTTAACGAGTAGAGTATAATGAATCGTTTTATAGTGATGATTCTATGAGGCACTTGTTATGATTAAAAAGAAGGCATTATAAGACATTTTATCTTTTGCTGTATGGTACCTACGAGTATAGGTTATAAATAAATTAATATATTATAAACCAATATATCAATAATATAAATAAATTAAAAATATTAGAAAAATAGTAAAAAATTAGAAATTCTTGAAAATATGTTTATAACTACCACTAATATAAATTTATTATATTTATTTATGTAAAATTATTGAAGGAGATATATACAAATTAAAAAATTATATAAATATACCTATAACATTTTAATTTTTGTATAATCGAAATAATATGTATTACATAATAGAATTTATACGAAATCGTGTCTGTTTTTTTTCTTTCTTAACTTAATAATATAAATAACATTCACTAAATTAATTATATATAACACTGATAGAAAGTGAAATCTGTAAAACATTTCAAAGACTAAGAAAGTTTTCCACATGTGAGAAAGATGACATTTGACAAAGATGCTTCTTCATATGATGCGTAGCCAAATAGTAACCCTCTTATCACCGAGTCTCACTTAACTCTTCCAGCTCATTTTGTTCTCAACATATTTGATATCAGAGTTTGTCAAACAGCCTATTCTAGCTAGTTAGTTTTCACACAAGTTCTACTCTCGTCTTGTGGGCCGGAAAAGCAAGAAAAAGACAAAAAGAACGTTATACCATTAGGTACATTTTAGTCCTCTTTAAATTCTCGTCGCGAAGCGGTAAACTCTCCCATCTCCTTGTCTCTTCTACTCACAGTGGTTTACTATCTATCCTCCTTCGTGCCCCCTCCCCCTCTCGCTCTCTCTCTTTCTCTTTTTCGGTCACCCCTACACTATCTTTATCCCTCAAAATCGCATCTCTTCTACTCCCCTTTTGCACGTTCGTGACTCCCGTGGGCGAAATTTGCATTTGAATTTTGGCATTTCGTCGAGTATAAGGGTAGAAAAGAAAGGGAATGAACGAACGAGCACAAGAGAGAGAACTAGTAGCGAGTCTCTCTCTCTCTCTCTCTCTCTCGCTCTCTCTCTCTCTCTCTCTCTCTGTGTGTGTGTGTGTGTGTGTGTGTGTGTGTGTGTGTATGAATGAGAGTGCCAGAATGTCAGAGATGGAGGCAGGGAGAAAGCTGGCGCTAATCGTTAAATAGCATTTCGCGAAGTGCTGCGGTCTCTGCCCTGAGGGAGAGGCCACCGAGCGAAACCGCAGTTCCGCATTTATCCCGTGGTGGTCGCGCTGCACCGATAAGGCGCATTGTCGAAAGCCCCCCGGGCGTACTATCCATCTTTGCCATCTTTCTCGCTCGCACGTATGCTCCTCGACTTTTTATTTGGGTCTAGATTTTCGTGCGCTCTTGACCGTAGAAGTGATTCCTCTACCCCAAAGGAAAAGAGCCGATGGTGCGACAATCACGCACTTTAGTTGAAATAGACGAATCTCGCTCGAATATTTACTGTTTACTATCTGTCAACAAATTGAAATCATTTTTTATCATTTTACCTTGTAACTGTAAAAACATTAAATTTATCGAAGATTTACTCAATTTAATCAGCAATGTAGATCAACACAAATATCTTTTGATATCAAATTCCTACCTACGTATTTTTAACATATTCTGAATTAACTTATATAATTTTATGTTCATTTTCTCCATATTGAATAGTAGTCCGAAATTTGGATATATCAATGTTTTAAAAATTAAATTCTTCTGTCTTAATATTTATTTATTAAACTTAATAATTACAAATAGTTTTAACAATAAAAGTTTTTAACAACATATAACAGTATTTACTAATTAGGTTTATGTATTGGTGTAAAATTAATTAAATGTACACACTTTTATCTTTAATTTAGTTGAACTATTAAATTTTAATTATATTCAATATTCAATGAAGTTCTGTATTAAAGAAAAAGGAAAATTGTAATTTCTTTATATGATCAATACATAATAAATTTTATAGAAGTAAAAAAAAATTTAATTTAATCTAAAAACTTGTAATTGTCAATCATTGATTTATATTTGTAATATCGTATTAAAAATATTGTACTATTATTATAAATATTTTTATATAAATAAGGAACGAAAGAATGTATTATTGGATTACGAAGAAATAAGCGTCCATGCAAAATAATAATTATTAAAAAATGGATAAATTTATTTAGATCTCAAATAAACACAATAATATATGTAAAGATTAAGATTATAATAGTGATTTAATAACAGCGAAAAAATTATATTATATACAACCAGTGCACTTTGGTAAAAATTATGTCAAACAGAAAAATCTGTTAAATTTTTCTTTGAATTTATTTTAAATTTACAAATACTCAGTATTGTAATATAGTGTTAATATTTCGAAAGTCCTAAGTACATATGATAATATTAATAGGCAATAAATGTAATTTAAAAATAAAATAATTATTTAAAATTTAATAGTTTTAAATACACAGTTTCAATTAAGCCATTTTTATGATAATCTCTTTTTCAACACCAATAATTATATCGTATAATTTTTAGGAAGAAAGTTAATCAATATATATATATATATATATATATATATATATATATATATATTAGCCTGGTTAAAATGAATTAAAGTGCTTTTATATAACATTAAAGTCATTTTATTCTATTTAAATTTTATTTAAATTGCACAAAGAGCAAGTTTAATATTTATTTTTCAAGAAAGATGTGAATAGAAATTTTCTATCGACGTAAGCAAAATAAATTGATAATTTTAATGCAACCTAAAAAAGTGAAGTAAAAAAAGTGAATAAATAATATATTTCTTTGAACTGAAGATACGTAAAAATTAAATTATTCCAATTATGTTTAATTATCATACTAGAATATTTTAATTATCTATTATTTGTCTTTGCTTTTCTTATAAAAATGTAGTTTCTTATCTACGTATCAGACAAAAATGGGAAGTAATATAATTGACTGTATTTTTAAATATGAAGTATTATATTTCCTTTATTGATTTGAATTTCCTTTATAAATTTATGTAAATATACTGACGTAGCCTTTAGGATATTACTATTACTTTTATTAGATTTATTATATCCATAAATATTAATTTTTATGAATAATTCAAATAAATTGTACTTTTATCAATTATTAGAATTATTGTATACATTTATTCTACTCATTTATATAAATTAATTGCATGCATAAGATTATTTTTTATTTCCACATAATTATAATACATTTTGTAAAATATTATCTTTTAATAAAAAAGAAATTAATAATTTAATAAAAAAAATTTGACTACTAAAGATGAATGTAATGAGTGTTCTATCGTAAAGATTGTATTAGAGCTACAGTGACCTTATACAAATGAGTTATACAAGATAAAAAAGAAATTAGGTTACTATGTAGTTAGGAATCTATAAGTTTAATTAGTGTAAGATAATTCTAACGAAATATGTTTATTAGTATTTTATATTTATAAATGATAAATGCATAGTAAGATAAAAGCTTAATATTCGAATAGAAAGACACATTTTTTGTAATAAGAAAGAAAATTGAAATCAGACATCAAGTGCTATAAAGTAATATTTCTTTTCCTTTTTACAGTGAGAGAAGTCACGTTATCCGAGTTAAGAGACTCAGTGGCGAGGTACCGGGACAGAGTTAAACTTGTGTGTCGAACGCGAGGTTCACCACCTCCGAGAGTGCGCTGGCTTAAAGATGGAGTTCCTTTACAACCACGAAGAGGTCTTCGGATCCAACACAAACGGTAAGATCGCAATTCGCTCGTATGCGTTTTTATATGAATATGCTTTCTTGATGAAATACATGGCATAACAGGGACATTTTATACCAATGGTTTCTCAACTTCTTCCATCTACATCTTTTTTTTATCTGTCCTCTCCATTTCTTCCATTTTTCTTCCCGCCTTCTATTTTATTTCTACGTGACTCCTTTTAATGGCATCCAGAATAAGTACTCATTTACGCAAGCAAATATTTTGGCCTTAAGAAATATAATACATTAAATTTTCCGTATCTGCAATTGTCTCTTTTCTAAAGGAAGAAAAAATTTCAATTTCGACCATAGCTGCAGGTTTACATTTATTTTAGAGTACTTATTATTTAAAGACTTAGGTATATTGCAGAGTTGCAGAGATTGATGACATTTTTATAACTTTTATCCTCAAATTGTAAATTAGAAGGTACACTGTAAATTTATTTAACGTAATTTACTCGTTTTCATAACTTTTTTAAAATTTTTCTGTTAAGTTCTTAAAGTCACGTTACGTGACTCATTTTTCTATATTTTCTTAAATATAACAAAATTTTCATCTTTCTCAACATAAGATAATTAAATAACGTAACAATAAAGTAATAATGATTGATAAATAGTAGCAAATTCAAGAAGTAATTTTAATAATTTTGTATAACCAATCATCAAAGTAAATTGCAATGTATGCTTTATATAATTCCTTTTTTTATAGTTTTTCTATTATAATTGTTAAGGTAAATATTAAACTAAAATTTGTTATAACATATTTTTATAATCAAATTAATTTACATATTAGCCATTTAACTGAAACTGAAATTAATTCATGAATATAGAAATACTAAAACTTTAACTATTTCGATGCTGTACACAAATTTGTTTTTTAAATATTTCAATGCATGTTTAAAATGTTTTGGAGTGCCAAACTATATAAAATGAGATGTGGGATTTTATTTCTCTATAAACATACATCAGCTTATCTGTAAAAAAACTAAACTGTTAATGTAAAAGGGCAGTTTTGATTATGCTTTAGGCTTGTCATTACATATTTGAAACCGTGCATTCCAATCTCACGTCTACTGCGCCATACACGCAATTAGTTTGAAAGCTTTGCCAGTCTTAAAACCAATGAAGATTTCCAACCGGTCGATAATTCAAATAGTAATTTCCTCAAAAGGTGAAACTATTAACTATAAAAACAATCTTAAGATTAAACTTAACCTTACCTATAAAAAGGCTTAATATTTAAATTAAGACCCTCGCATTTAAAAATTCATCTTTTTCTTGTATCAGTGTAATGAAAACATTACAAATATTTCCTTTTAAAAAATAATTTTAAATACAATGTTGTATTTTACTTCTAAAAATACAAATTTGATGTCATATATACATAACGAAATTATTTATAATATTTATATTATTTATAGCTATAACTATAACTATAAGTATTTATGAAACTATATTTTAACGTCTTACATGGTATCCTAATTTACAGAAAATTTATATTTAGGTAACAATAATTATATTACTATTCTTATATTATAGTGATAAATATGACATGATACATTATTGTAACAAAAATGTAATCAATAATATTATAGTGCCCTATTAATTTTAGTTTAGTAACGTTTATATGATTAAATAAATTAATAAGTAAAGTGTTTATTTTTATAATTCAAATAGCACCAATTTACCTACAATTTATTATGAATACTAAAAATAAGGTTTTTTAAATAGCAGTTCGATTTTTTAGTTTTACGAGTAATTAGCCTTGATATTAAATACAATGCAAAAGCTTAATGGTCGTTTGCTTCAATGCGTTGTAAGTGGAGAAAACTAAATGCATTAATAGGAAGTATACATCTCATCCGCAATCCGGACATGAGATAATCCATCAATCTTCTTCATTATGGTGAAATATTCAACCCTGCAAATATATACAGCGAACCAATTATGAAATTAACTTTTTGTTTATCAGTTAAACTGTCATTCATTCTGCTACTATTGTTTTGTCAAGACAAAGGAATGATTAAAGGGTCAGTTTTGGTTCATAGATAATTAAAAATAGGCAACAAACGTAAAGTTGCAGCAAGAGATACATACTAATAATTCAGGTCACATCGTAGTTGGAAAAAGTAGTAATCAAAGTTACACCGTAATGTATAGTAGACATGTCATATTCCTTTATTTTTATGACTCAAAGTAAGTCATCAGTACAAGGCTGATCAAACGATGACTCGTTCTATTAGGATGATCATCACGTAGTCAATATCTATATATAAGCATCCCATCGTATCTAATTTAGTTTCGTAAATTATCTTTCAATATAAGTATTCTGAAGTTATTATTCCATTCAATAATATCATATACTTTTCAATTTCATTTATTTTATTTTTTCAATGTTATTAGTGTTCATAAAAATTTATAATAACTTTACTAACACTTATTGATAAGTTCTATTTTTATTTCACCTCTTATAATACTATCAAAAAGCAAATAATTGTTAAAATTCTAATTAAACCCTAAAGTTAACGTTCTAATTAAACTAAATTAACTTAACTTAATTCTAAATAAAACTTAATTTTAAATAAAAGTGTAATAAAGTTAATATTAAAACTTCAAATTTTAACAAAAAATTTATATAATTATGACTCTTAAAAATAAGATTTAAAATAATTTTAAAAAGTAAAAATACTGGTAAAGAAATTTAATACAAATAACTGCGAGTAATATTAGCCATATAGTATGAAACGATTAAAACTTTAGCTATCTTCATAATATCTTCCCAATTATTTTAAATTATTAGTTTTATCATAAAGCATAAATCCAAAATCTACTTTAGAAAAACGGGAAAATTTTTTAAATATAAAAGTATCATTGAATTTAAAAATGTAATAATAAGATCTAATCATAAAAATATTTCCAAATTCATATTATAATAAATTATATTCTTAAGTAATAACTGAAGTAAAATTTTGTATTAAGTCTCAATTTTTCCGCGGTGAATTTAGAAACATGAAAATAGATCGAGAAATTTAATGCATTGTGTAAATGCAAAGTAATTTCATAGATATGAATGTGAATGAACACGAAACAAGTACATATGCACAAATGATATGATTTAGGCAGAAAGAGAAAGAGAAAGACATGTTAAGGAAAGTATCTCATGAATAAATATATTCATTCAAGAAGTTCGTGACTGTAAATTTTTATTTCTCTTCAAAATAATAAATATTTATGTACATTTTTTCTTTGTATTTATTTTCAGAATTATAATTATATTAAAAAATATAATATCAGTTTGCATAGTAAGTTCATAGAATATTAATAGTTTAAATATTTTAATGTAAGTTCGATCGAGATATCATTGTTCTAATACTCACGCACACATATCTATAAGTACGCGCATATAGATGTACGTATGGTATAAGTAATAATTGAAATTATCATTGATAATGATTACGTATAATATATATATATATATATATATATATATATATATATATATATATATATATATATCTTATTATAATAAGATATTAGAAATAAAAGAAACAAAATGTTTTAATGTTTTTTAACTAGATTTTCAAATATAATGGTTATTATATATATATATATATATATATATATATCTAACTATTTGTACCAAGATAAATTATTTGAAAGGCTTTTCTCGTATGGATCTGCGACGCAGATAAAAATTTAAATCTACTTTTTATCTACTCTGATAATTGCTTAATGTAAATATACATTATTTTTTTCTATACAATAATTGGAGCAATATTTTTGATAAACTGTAATGTAGGAAAATATGCACATTTTTATTTAAAATATTGTTTGATGAAAAAATAATTGTGTCATAGTAAAAATTTCAATTTCCTCTCAGATCTTTTTATTTATTTATCACGACATTTCTCATGGTTTTTTATCTACTCTTTCCATTTCTCATTAATTTTGCTTTTACTCTCACTTATTCTCAACTAGCGGCCAGATAACATGCAGTGCGAACAATAGTTCAATATTAAAATAGAGCAAAAGGATAAAGAGAAATAGAGAGAAAGAAGGAGATAAAGAAAGAGCAAGGGGTCGAAAGCGATAAAAAGGGCAGGACATATAGTGGTTCAGCGCGACTGAACGAGAGTCAAGATTTGCATACGCTTGTCGGCCATTCTGCATTTTGCGAGAATAAATATATTTCAAGCTACGGAATTTCTGTGTACCGAATATCTAGAGAGAAAGAGAGTTGTACGGAGGCTGGAGAAGGGAACGAGAGAAGTGGATAGAACGCGAGATATAATCGGAGGTCGAATGCAGATTTACGCAAAATAGGATTCCGCTTTAGAGGGCAAGGGTGAAATTTGGAAAGAGGAAAAGAGGAGGACGATGTGAGTGAAGAAGGAAAAAAAATTCGACGATGATCCACGAGCGTTAGCCGTTACCGGAAATCGCGCGGTCATTCCAGCGCGCTACTGCCGTTGAAAACGGATTCGTCGGTCCGCACAAAACATATAATTTACCGACGAGAGCTGCCATGCGCGCACTGAATAAAGTAGAATTTATTTTCAACTTCTCACATTGTCATACATATGTACTTTACAATCTCTGTCTCTCTCTCTCTCTCTCTCTCTCTCTCTCTCTCTCTCTCTCCATCTAACTCTTTCACTCTTTCAAAAGCCTACTAGATTTCTATATTCAACTTTATGACTATAAATGAAACACTAATAAAATCAATATATTTTACGTAAACTTTTTATGATACTTTATTATGCTTATTATCTAGGAATTAAACATTTGATACTATTCAATTACACAGTGATATCATATAGTTTTAATAACTTTAAATAAATAGTTAATTTGTTAAAAGTGTGTACAGTTTTTTAATGTATTTGTTTATGTTAGTAATGTAAATTTTAATGAACTAATTATTTTAACGATTAATTATTATATAATTTATTATTTTAGTCATAAAATATAATTAATGTTTGTAACTATTTTTAA